ATTATTTTTAAACTAAAAACCGACTTTTCGGTCGCCTTGTATATTCTGAAATTTTAAATATGTGCTATTTCAACAACACATGGCTATACTTCGGCCATTCTTCGACGAGAGTATCGACTATGCGACAAATAACTTACCAACACATTCTCAGAATGTAATTTCACACTGTAACAGGAAACACGATTCGAACTTTCTAAACGTAACTTAACGACGACACAAGTGTGCAAAAGTGCCCAATGGAGAAAACTGCGTAACTACTTTCACAGGAACGTAAACTTAAATAACGCTACTTACGGAAACACACATAATTTGTTACTAACTCCTTGACTATATTTGGTAACTTCTATATTAAATACCATTGCGCTTCAAGAACTATCAAGGCAATCGATATCGCTTTTCGATTTTGTAAAAGATGATGCTGTGGATATTCAAATAAATTCACTGGTGTCAACGCATTTATAATTATTATCATCCTTCCATCAAATTGAAACCAATACTTTTCAAAATTCGACATGTTTATCGAACTCCATTTTGCGTATATCTACTAACAATATAAATCTTACAGAAATCTCTTTAAAAAACAACATGTGTAAAAAAGTGAAAAAAGATCCTACACATAGTTACACTAAAATGGAATTCTTTAACAATCAATGATAGAGGACTCGAAGATTTCCTTTTTAGGAACATTACCGCTTTCATCTAAGCAATCCGCAAGGCCAACTGCAAGAATAGTATCGTTGACACGTTCAATTCCGTTTACTTTAATAAGAGATTCTCAGAAAGATCACTATTCTATAAATAAAACACTCTGAGAAAACCAAATAGTTTTATATGGTCAAACGTGGCGCGCATTTTCATTAGTTCAACCAATCTTTCACAGATGTCAGCACTATACAGAAACAGCTGCTGCTTGAAGCAGTAGAATAAGCACCGGCTAATATGAACGTGCACGGGTCAGTAGACCGTTCGAGTAGAATGCAGTGAATGACGTGGGGGAATTAATGGAAGACTTTCAGGAATGCGGACAATAATTACAGTATAAGCATAACGGCAGAGAATCGGGTAAACGCGATGCGTCAGAGTCGTAAGTTTTCCCTATTCTGAAAATCGATTTCGTTTGTCTCAACGAGTTCAAAGATGAGCAAATATTATTCGGAATAACGAATAAAAAGTGGTGAATGTTATTCGAAAATCTATTTCTACATAATATGCAATATTTCATTCACAAAGACAACCATGAATTAATAATAAAAGAATTATTATATTTATCCATGTCATAGTTAATTGAAATCAAGTTTTCTTCACTGAAAATAAAGCTGATTGGCATGAAAAAAGCTATTCTTGAAATATAGATTAAATAATCACGTGGATAATTATTCTTCTCAAAACAAAATGTATCGCCATATAAAGTACTCAAATATTTTAGTATACGTCCGCACATTTGTTTCGAATGAAGACCAACTTTGATCTTAATAATGCTGTTTCAAGTTAGTAAAGAATTCTTTTAAATTCTGAAATCGTATATTTGAGACAAAAATGTACTTGTTTCAACCTATTCAACAACCACGATTTATTATTTATTAGGAATAATGAAATAATCATCTATTCGATTTTTTAAATAAAATTTAACAGCTCTTCGTTTGTCTTACATTTAGATTCCATGGACTTGCATCAGTACATTTTATTATGAACGTAGTGATTAACATATCACATGCATCCAGAGGCAGCTTATTGTTAAAACAAAATAGAGAAGAAAGCATAAAACAAAACGGAATCACTGAGTGACCTTATCGACTGTTACCGATTAATTGTGAGGTACCGACCGTTGATAAACATCCACTCACGGTTTGATTTTATAAATAGTATTCTTTATATTTAGTATCCTCGAAGCGGCCCACTACTAGTCACGTTTCACTCTCAAGTTTTTGTCTAATTTCCACATTCACCCAGTGCAATTATTACGACGACGATTTTTTCCACGTTTCGCAAACACGTTATTTATATTCCTGACAAAATCACGTTGTTCTTGATCGACAATCGGTAACAAAACAATGCCAGGTAACTTTTCTTTGGTACATGCTATGACATCACAGTTCTCCTTTCTCGTTTTATTTTATTCTTCAACCATCTCCCGCCACTCGACTCGTAACTCCAACAAACATTGGCCGCGAAACAGTTCTCCTCCACACAGCAATTCAGCTGCTTTTGTTTTCAGTAAAAGTGCACTCCTTTCTTACGTATCACAGTAGGTACATAAAAGGCTCTCGAATTGTCGTGAATTAATGAAATTATTACCATTGTTCGTATTTAATTAATCCACAAAATTTCTATTAGCATGTGCCTAACGAAACAACTAATAGCAATTTATGACCGAGTAGGAAAATACAAATTCATGAACGTATGAAAATGAAAACAGTAAAACTTATTAGGGAGCTACGAAAAATATTTGTACGATATCAGACAATTAGTGAGTGGGCATATATATAAATAGCCGTATGAAATTTAAATAATTATACCGAACAGTATCGTAAGAACTTAACAAACAGATATTATTGAAAAAATATTCATTTCATCATATAACAGTTTATGAGTAGCAGTTTATAGAATAATTGAAACATCGTCATTAAATTTATAAATATTTGTACTCCGGATATCAAGTTAACTGTGCTAGCATAAAATTTTTGTAATATACAAAACGATCGAATACGTTCTCGATACACGGAAAATGACACATACCGTCGGCAACGAACGTTAAAATTATAACAGGAGAATATGCTTTCGAGCGCCAGCTGTTTGCACCAGCAAATGTCTCACAAAAACTGCAGACGACCGAAAACTTGAAAAAAAAGTGAACACACTGACGATTCAAATTTAGTTGAACTACGATACATTAATGTCACGAACAACTGTCTGCCGTGACCAAGAACGAACTGCCGTGAGGTTCGGAGCTTGATGCCGAGCTAACCGGTTTCCTCGATCTATGGTTAATTCCTCCAGCTCGGTTCGAGCATCGGGCGAAATTTAAGCGGTAATTCATTCAATCAATCATCGGACGAACGTCGAATTCCTTACTTTGTTAAGAAGTCGGTAGAATATTCCAGTGGGAATCGCAAAGTGATCAACAACGATCGTAGTAGAATCGTTTAAGCATGGAAACATTACGACATAGACAATTAAGTAACAATTATCGAAATGTACGTTGATGAAACGATACAAATAAACAGAAACAACTCGTGTAAATTATTTATCATTTCAATTGGAAGCGATAACCTTACAAATATATCTTCAACATGGATGAAAAGTCAGCTATCCCTACCCCATGGTTAGCAGTGTATATGAACGCCATATACACTGAAATTCTGATTTGTTTTTCCTCGACTTCCAACATGATCAAACCTTAAAACCAAGGTCACTATGATTGTTTAGATAATTTGAATATACATGCGTGAATATACATTTATTATTACGTATAGTCAGAGTAGAATTAAAATCGTTTATAATTTACTAATTAAAAGTTAGTAATTATTATCCATTTGTACAAAGGTGTAGGTAATATTCAAAAGAAATACAAACTGAAATATTTACAACAAATTAGTTTATCATTAATAATTATAGAGAATTACAAACAGTCATAAGACGATGTACAATTATCATTTAGTTATGATACTAAAACCTTTATCTAAAAGACGATTCTGTAAAAATGTGTAACATTATACGGTACAGGATCGTTAAACTTTAAACACTTATCGTTTCTAATATAAAGAACTCGATTTGTTCGTTTACGACAATGTGATCGTAATATCAATCGAAATACAAACATTCGTGAAACACACTAATCATTACACTGTGCAAACACTGTCTTATTTGTTACCTAATGTTAAAGCACAAATGTCTTTTCTTCGTCGAAATAAATTCCTTTTCAAATCAAAATATTTATTTTTTTTTTAAATTACTAAATATGATAACTGAAAAAAGTTGGAATGCTTTGAGTAATAATTCTTAAATAGTTATAAATTATAAATATATTTATCTTTTTCTAATCGCATTCTAATTTTACTTATTTTACTTGAATTAATCACAACATCAACGTAAATTAACAGATTGCATTATATATGAAATTAGTGTATACACTATGCATAGTAGAATAGGAACACAGCTTTTCATAATTCAAGCAACTAATCCGTCACTAAATGCAGATGAAGTTTAAAGTTTCTTATCTAATTTTTCTTATGTATTTGAATCTTTAATAAATGAAATGCTGGCAGCATTTCATTTACTTGTAACATTCATATAAAAACTATGAACTTACTTCATACAGTTGTGATCACACAGTGCATTAAATAAATCTATGAACATTTAAAAATACCACAATTATTAACAATGTATTTTCAGCATTGCATATAGCAACAAATTCAATTAAAAGGGATATTTAATACAAAACGGAATTGACATGAATAAAAATAAAGAAATAAGCATTTATAAATTCAAAATTAAACCAAATTTATCTTAATTCCTTGAATTTATAATTAGTGAACAATGTGTATAATTTGTGTATATTATTTTCGAGACATGAAAAAAGAATATTAAAAATAAAAATATGTTCTGTATGAATACAACATTTTTTAAATGCAATACTCTGTATGACCCTAGTCTAAAATATCGATACTTCAAACACAACATTGCAATGAATCATAAATAATTTTAATCATGAATAATGAAATTTAATAAACTATAATTAAGTAATAACGAAAACACTCAAATTTAATAATGATAATAAATCTTAAATAAAATAACATTGATTTTAAATTATTTTAATCCGAAACCAATGAATAAACTACTCATTTTTTAAATGATCTGCAGATTTAATTTTTTTTAGAAATTACAATACAAGAGTTCATTTTACTTTTTGTGGCTATCAGTAAACTAGGGTCTCCAGCTAAATACACCGTTTAGAAAACGATAATAGATAATAATTGTGACATTATATAATAATTATTTAACTACTTTCTGTACATACTCACATTACCTATTCATTTTTCTTGTTTCACTTCGCATAGTAATACTTACATTCATTAATATACATATATACCACATACTCATAAATATGTATCTATATATCTCTTTCCTCTTTTAAATTATTTGAATGTATTGTTTCACAAAGAATTGTCCACATCAGTTAATTTTTGTAACAGAGTATCCTCCATTAGTGTTCATGTCAGTCTTTTAAAAAATATTATTTTACATGGCAGTAAAACGATAGCAATCGGTAAAATGTAAGAACAATTCGCGTAACCACTTTATTCTTTGTAAAACGAAAAAGAAACGAATTTGCACATTTAAAGTCTTACACGTTGTTGAATTTATAAATGGATTATAAAAAATGTATTCTGATCACAGTTTTCGATGTTTCCCTTCTCCACATAGCCATAAACAGGCTCTATCCACGACGTAGGCAAGAACGAAATCTAATATTAGTATTTGAAATAAGAGATTACGGAACTGTAACCGAAAAATATTTTGAATTAATATATAGAATGTTAATACAAAAAACATCGGTATTAAATTTCTATGTACTTACATCATTTGGGAATTCCACAATTTCAAATTGAGCTGCTAAATCAGGTACAAATCCACATAAACCTAATATAACAGCGGCGATGCCTATGAAACCGTATAGCAGAGATTTATTTTGTGATAAACTTTCCATATATGGATGACCCTGTGTAATAAAATTAAAAGAATTAAAACGTAACGTACATATAATTGGCACTAATATATATATATATACTTGCTTAATATAATAACTTACTCGATAATTAATCGCAAAAGTAAACAGTTGGATCGACATAACAATTATGTAAACTGTGCTATTTATCAAATTTGCTTTAAAAGGTTTATTCTGGTCATCTATATCTGCATTCTCGCTTATGGACATATTCTGAGAAACTGTATGATTTGTACCCAACGTAACTGATAGTGCATCATCACTTTGTAAAATAAATAAAGAAATTAAATAATAGTTTTCATAACTATATTCAAATTATCTTCCTTACCTTGGAGATATTATTGTTGCTTCTCTTACTAGATACACGAGAGAAGCAAAGTGTACGGTAAATTGAAGCAGTACAGTGGCTATAGTATACAAATTAAAAATATTTGGTAAAGGTCTTTGTTTAGACAATGTCTTTAAAGGCTTTGATCTTGATATAAATAAAAAGCAGGTAGCCATTAGACCACCTTGTAATGTAGCCTGTGCATCACTAAATTTTATTCCATCTAAATAAAGAACAGATTGACTGTATGCTTGGCCTAACGCATTAAGCGCCAAAATTTTAAACATTTGTAAAGTTGTGACTAAAGTGCATCGCCCTTGTTTAATAACGTGACATACTGTAAAAAAAAGTGCGGAATATAATTGCAAGTTACATTACAGTTATTTAATTTGCTTGCATAATCATACTTACTGCACTCAATAGACGACATTTTACTAGTGAATGGTGCAGCAATTGAAGCATCACCAAGCTTAACAATAACATTATTCTGTTGTTCCAGCTGCTTTAATAGCTTCTGTATTTTAGTATTATTATATCTAGCGTTAGCAGACATTCTTGAGTTCATTCTTGGACCATTGACCAGCATTGAATTTGAGATCACGTTTTCATTTTTTGTATCATCTTGCTTATGTTTAGATGCTCTTTCCGGTGGACTAGAAAGGATAGCAACTCCTAATAAAATAAATATATTAGTATATGTTATTTTTTTATGTTTAAATCATTATAAATTATAATAGTTAACTAACCCACTTGGGCGTGTTTCAAAGCACCAACATCATTAGTACCATCTCCACACATAAGAGTTGAGTATCCGAGATTCTGTAGAGTTACAATTATAAATTCCTTTTGCTTCGGTTCACACCTTGCAAAAATCACAATGTGTGGCAGTAATGAACGCATGAGTTCTCGTTCATTATCTTTTAAGTATGTTAAACCCTGTAAATTGTATGTTAAAAAGAACTATGAATTAAAGTTCTAAACCAATAATTATTTTTTTACGTTCATTACCTTACCTCTCCTGTTACACAAAGAGCATGTTCCCGCCAAATTTCTTTACCACGAGTAATGTTTTTTATACTCAGAGGCAGATTCATCTTTCCATCCACGCTTTCCCAAAACCACTCTCCGTCGTTTAAAGTCAGTATGAGCATGACTGGTTTTTTTGTAAAGTGTAATTCACGACTTACGTGGCATGCCGTTAAAGGATTATCTCCAGTAATCATAACAACCTATAAATTCAAAATGATTTTCCTGTACCATGCATAGCAACCATAATTAAAAGGAAAAGCAAATATACTGAAAAATTACCGAATGTGAAGAATTTACTATTTCTTTAATAACAGCCTTAGAATCTGGTTTAAGTGGACAACTTATGATTACAAATCCAGCAAATGTTAGATTTTTCTCTAAATCTTCTCTTGTTAACTCTCTTAAATCTTGGTACGATAAAGGTCCAGGAAGTCTTCTATATCCCAAAGCTAATACTCTTGCACCACGACGGGAGAGCGATAAGTAAGTTGAGTCATAATTCTCTGGTACAGTTGATAACTAAAGAAAGGATAAAAAAAACAATTATAATATGTCATGTGATAACTTTACCACAATATTTACCATATTTTTAATAATTTCAGGTGCTCCTTTCACAGTGGTCATATAATTAAATTCTGACGATCCCGACGTCGTGTAGCCAGCTATAACTGACATTCTTTTCAACCAAGAGGTAAAATGATGCCTGTGCACAATTTTTAAGACAGGAGACTGGCCCTTTTTAGGTATCATAGAGTCATCTAACATAAAAGAACATTAAGTATTAAAGCACTAATGACTCAACTGTGAAAATTGCAATATTGTCATACGTTTTGTGAGAGTCCAATTAATAGCCTTTAATGTCGCTTTTTCAAGCGGATCGCCAACAATTCCATCATCGATTTGTACAAGTGAATGGCACGTTGCAAGTACTTGTATACTTTCTAACGGTGCATTAGAAAGTTGCATAACATCTGCTTTCCCACTAAAATTCCAAATAATTATTTTAATACAAGCATTTGCGAATGCTTTATACTTTTCGGTAAATTATTATTTAAATCTTACTCTATGCCTGCTATGCCTTCTACTACCAAGTTGTCACTAGTTAAAGTACCAGTTTTATCAAAACAACAAATTTCAACTTTTCCAGCAAATGGTATTCTAAAAGGTTCTGTGCAAAATACACCTACAAAACAGAATCATTTGTTCCTAGATAAGTTAATGACGAATGTACAAAAAATTAATTTACCGGATCGTCTAGAAATGAATTACGGTTTTTATAATTTAAGTTCACACATGATACACTTTGTACTCGCAGTTGATATATAATATGGTATACCAATTTAAAGTGTAAGTGCCAGTTCATCATTTGACATGGGTTAAATTTTTGTTTTCAACGTTCATTTGTCGCAGTTTCATGTACAAATGTAACAATGGGAAATATATCAATTGTAGGGTATTTATCTTACTTGGTTTAAATAAATTAATTTTTACCCGGCAACATAAGCAAAATTGTTTTAGGCCCAAAAACCGTAATTTACTTCCAAACCCAATAATCTATGTATTTAAGTACCAAGTTTTGAGAGGGCCAGTAAAGATGTATTAACAGCAAGTGACAATTCAATAGGTAATTCTGGTGGAACAACTGATGTTAAGATAAGTGTACATTCCAAAAATAATTTATATTTGTTTCTTGTAGGATCCTCACTTCCTAGAAATAATAATTTAAATAATAATGTAAGTCATGTACAATCAAAATATTATCTTATATACCTTTAATCCACACATATGTAGCTGCAGCAATTGCAAAAACTAATAAAAATAAGATAAAGCCAAATGTTTCCAAGTTATTGGCTGTAACATGTTTAACTCCGAACAGTATTGTTCTCAAAAGTTTACCCTGTGACGTTGAAAATCCAGTACGTAATACATAGGCCACACAGCCATTATCACTAGCTAAAATATTAAGAATAATAAATATAAAATATAAATATATGTCTATATAAACCTTAAAACTTAAAATACCTGCCCTTACCTTTAAGGCCAGATACGTTTTTACTAGGTGGAGTATGTTGTACAACCTTTGTGCCTCCAAAAAGGATATGAAGTTTAGCATTACCATCTATGTCTAACTGTCTGTCTCCATCAATATCATCCACTGGTTCCTTCATTTGTGGAACCGATTCCCCTACACATTTTTAATTGCACCATATAATATAAATCAACTTATACCATTCAATCATCAATACCATTTATTTTTCTAACATAAATTAATCACCTGTTAGCATACTCTCATCGACCACGCAGAGCCCTCTTAAAAGTAACATATCACATGGCACTAAATTATCATTCTGAGATCTTGTTATGGACACAATGTCACCAGGCACTAACTGATCAGTGAACATAAAACGCCATCTTCTATTTCTATAGACCTTTGATAAAAATTATTATTTTAAATCATAGTTTAATAAATTATATTACTCGTATTATTGACTAACCATCATCATGTACGGCTTGTTTCCCATTTTTCTGATCTCTGCCATATTTCGAAGTTGTTGTTGCACAAGTGTACATTCAAACATAATGAGCATAATAAGTGTAAAGATACTATAATACCAATATTTATCTAAGCACCATAAAGCAACACAAAATACTTGAAACACGAAGAATGGTGCTATTGCTCTTTCCTTGAATAATTCTCTGAATTCTGGTACCACCATATCTAACCTGAATAAAAGACACACAAATTTATCCGGAATAACAAAAGTTATAACTAATAATCCCAGTTATGGTAATTACTTATTTTTGCCATATTTTTCCTCTGCAAATCCAACTTCTTTTTCATCTAAGTACCCTGTCCATTCACGATAATATTTAATAGAGTGATTAATGGGAAACTCGAGGCCATTAAAGCATTTTTTATGTGGATTCCAACAATATTTAGTCTCTTGAAATATAAACCATGGTTCTTGTTGCTCTGAATGGTACAACCTAACAAGTTCTGAACTGCCATTGTTAGGTGTTGGAATTACTTTTGCTACTGCAGCTTTATACGGATTTTTCTCCTGAAGAAATATAATATACATATACTGAAGTTAATTCTTACAATTTGAGTATTCCCGCCTTTTAATCATTACTAGCAATATGCCGGCTCGAATGGCTGCCACGTTAGCGAAACATATTGAATCAGATAAGTTGCACGTGGGAATCGTCCGAGTGATATACTCGGTAATTATAACGAACAAAACGCCAACTCACCGAACTACAATTAAGAAAAGTATGCACGTGCACAGACCACTGGCAACACAAACATATGAAAATCTGTAGTAAACCGATAACTGCGATGCCCACCAAACCCGCGTCATAATATTCATCGATTCCGTATATAAATATCCAACTGTAAATCCATATTGTAAGCAATATTACAGACGGTAATATGTAGCCCGTAAATAATAATTTCCTTGGTTTGTGTAGGGTGACTGTTTGCACGAGTTCGTCTATCCTTGCTGTGCCAATAGTCGCCATGATTACAATTCGCCGTAACAGGGGCGTATAGATTTTGTTGTTAAAGATTTAGATACTTTCACATTAGATTTAACAGCACCGACCTCGGAGAACACTTGATTGAATGGTATACGCAACAGCTGCACCGTGCGAAAGGTGCTCGTGATATGTTTACCCCTTTCGCACTTTGCCTCGGTGCTCTATATGTATACTAATTTACAATAATCGGACAAAAATGAATCTTGCGTACAACACGGTCATGACATCTTGTATCAATAGCTCTAACTATCTAGTAGTTCACAGACTTAAGATATCTACAGACTACGCATACAATGTCTACTGTTCTGAAATACCTACACCAAGAATATCTAAATCGGTGCCCACGGGTACTCTAGTAACACTCCCCTCGCAAGAAGTACCCTCTCCATACCTACTGTGTATATGAACAGTCGGTAGGTAGTGTTCAATAATTAGGTAAAAGTAGATATGGAAAGGGTAACTTCTCGCGAGGGGAATGTCACTAGAATGCCACGTGCACCGATTTAGCATCCTTGTGGTACAGGATAACATATTTACTAAAAAGAAAAATTTATTTAAAATCAAAAATTTATTTTCTGTAAACTTATATTAACTATTATATCAGTAATTTAAAAAAAATTTTAAATGAACAATACTCTGTTTAGAAAAATGAAGGTGGTTATATCACCTCGTCTGTAACATATAAGTTTCATGCTTCCATAAGCATTAAACTTTTGGTAAACGTGTAAAGTTCCAAAACGTTGGGAATCCCATAAACTATGTTTATGGAATTGAATAATAATTACAAAGTTAATAAAACTTTTAATGTTAATGATTGAGTAACATTTTGAATACTATTTAATTACTAAACAGAAAATATTTGTAATTACTTGCGAGAATTTCCAATAAACACACGTGCCAGGTAATTTGTCGTATAGGTTATAATTTAAATACATAATAGTTATAGAAAAGGAGGCGTATTGATATATTTAAATGATTATAAATCTTTAGGATGGAAGACACAGATATTATGGGATTTGCTAATCCTAAAGAAACAAGTGACAATGATGAAGAAGATGAAATTTCAAAAATTAAAAAGAAAGCATGTAAAAAATCAGGGGGATTTCAGTCAATGGCTCTTAGTTTCCCTGTAATAAAGGGAATTTTAAAACGTGGATACAAGATACCAACACCTATTCAACGAAAGGTATACATTACGAGTTTAATAAAAGGAATGTTAGAAACTATTATTAAATTATAAGTAAACACATTTTCAAATGAATGTATAACAAATTGTATTTTTATAGACAATTCCTTTAGCTTTAGAAGGCCGTGATATAGTAGCTATGGCAAGAACAGGTAGTGGAAAGACAGCTTGTTTTTTATTACCTATGTTTGAAAAATTGAAAGCAAGACAAGCAAAAGCTGGTGCGAGAGCTTTAATCTTATCACCTACTCGTGAATTGGCATTGCAAACATTAAAATTTATAAAGGAATTAGGAAAATTTACAGGTTTAAAAGCATCTGTTATTTTGGGAGGTGATAGTATGGAAAATCAGTTCAGTGCAATTCATGGGAATCCTGATATATTAGTTGCTACACCAGGAAGATTTTTGCATATATGTATAGAGATGGATTTACAATTGAATAACATTGAATATGTTGTTTTCGATGAGGCTGATAGGTGAGAATTTTTTTTTTAGTAGTAAATTTAATTTTTAGGAACATATAAACTGTATCTTATATATTATATCATAGATTATTTGAAATGGGCTTTGGAGAACAAATTAATGAAATTACAAACAGATTACCAGAATCTCGTCAGACATTACTATTTTCTGCAACACTTCCCAAAGTTTTAGTAGATTTTGCAAAGGCTGGGCTGACTGATCCTGTTTTATTACGGTTAGATGTAGAAAGTAAAATACCAGAACAATTATCACTTTCGTTTATAGTCTGTAGACCAGAAGAAAAGTTAGCAGTAATGTTATGTTTATTAAAAAATGTTATTAAGAGTGAGTCTCAGTCCGTAATATTTGCTGCGACACAACATCATGTAGAATATATTCATCAGGTATAAATGCAATACATTTTAATTTTGTATAATATACAATACTTATATATACACAGACATTTTATTACTAGGTGTTAGATAAGGCAGGAATTTCTAATACATTCGTTTATTCAAACTTGGACCCATCAGCTAGGAAAATAAATACAGCCAAATTTGAAACTAATAAAGTTAAGGTACTAATAGTAACAGATGTTGCTGCTCGAGGTTTAGATATTCCACATTTAGATAATGTAATAAATTTTAATTTTCCTGCTAAATCGAAACTCTTTGTGCACAGAGTAGGTAAGTAAATGAATCTTTATTGTATATTCAGTGTTTATAATGCTTAATTCATTTTGTTAATAGGTCGTTGTGCACGTGCTGGCCGAACAGGTACTGCTTACAATATTGTAAGTCCAGATGAATATGCTTACCTTTTAGATTTACATCTTTTCCTTGGTCGTCCCTTACATATCATTCCGGCTTCTGGATCTGTTGAGAACACGGAGGGCGCTATAGGTAAAATGCCACAAGCAATGATAGAGGAAGAACTTGCTGAATTAATAAATTGGCAAAACAGTTCCACGGATTTGGTATATAGTTTTGAAACATTATTAAGATGAATAAACATAACAGAATAAAATATTTAATATACACTTAATATTTGGATTCCAATTATAACAAATTTTCGAATTTACTTACAGCAAAATATGGAAAAAGTTTGTGATAACGCATATAAACAGTATATAAGATCTCGACCAGCAGCTTCTTCTGAAAGCGTTAAGAGGGTGAAGGAGTTGCACATTGGCGAGGCAGGTGTTATACCAGAATACTCCGACATGTCTTCCAACACCAGGAATTTATTATCAAAAATTCTAAATTATAGACCACAGGGGGTATGTACGTGCATAAAATTTGTATAAAGTATATTACTGTGAAGTTACACTAATATAAATAAATATATAAATATTTATTTGTGACAGACGATATTTGAAATTGGATCCAAAGCATCTTCTACCGATTATCAGGTAATGAAGTCAAAACGATCGCTTCATAAAGAAAACATTATGAATTTTCATAGAAAAGCGGAGGAATTAGAGGCTAAAAAAAGTTTAGAGAGTGAGTTTCTTTAAGAATGAGAAAATATATATTTGATAACAATTTTTTATTTACTAAGTGATTCTTTTAAACAGATCAGACCAAAAAAGCGAATCTTCCATCAAGTACAAATGACGAGATAAGTTCAGCATTTAACACTGTTGTTTTACCAAAGAAAAGGAATGTCGATGATTTATATAAACCTAAAAAGAAAAAACGATCTGCAGCGAAAGATGACGAGTTCTTTATTCCATATTTTGCTCCAGACAAACATACAGAAGACGGGTATGATTAAAAGAAACAGTATTTTATTATAAATAAATAAATTACATTTTTGTGCGTTGTAGATTAGCAGTTAACTCTTTCAATACGGAAGCAGACAAAGTTCAGATGGATTTAACTGCTGATAACGAGGAATCGCTACGACTCCAGGCACAAATTAAGAAATGGGACAGGAAAAAGAAGAAAATGATCACCATAAATAACGTATGCATTCTATGTCATTAATAAATTTGATGTATATAAGAACATTAAAAATGTTTATCATGTTCGTTTTCCTTTAAGGATCGGAAGGCTAACAAAATTCGAACCGAGTCAGGCGTTTGGATTCCTGCAAGTTACAAAACGAATCGTTATTCAATGTGGAAAGAGAAAAGTAAAATCGACGCTATAAATGACGACGATAGCGAAGAAGAACCCCAAGAAATGCAAAAATGTAAGCTACGATTACACCTACTACTTGATTATCTGATATATGTACATAACAAAAATTCATTCTGTACACTGCAGTGCTAACAACCGCGAATACACATTGGGCACGTCACAATCAGAAACTGAAGGAGAAGATTAAAACAAATAAAGAACTAAAAAGACCAGAACAAATTCTAAAGGCACGGAAACTGCTGGAACGAAAACGAAATAGAAACGGTAGAAAAGGCAAAGGTCAAAAGAGTAGAAAGAAGTGATAAAATATCGTTTTTTACTATTCTGTATAAATCACTTATGTAGAATACATTTTTCAATATATACAACAATTACTTTTTACAGTGTGTCTTTTTTGTCATCCTTTACTCGTTGTATTTTTTCTTAAAAGTAATTAGACCCCTATTATAATTATTACATATTTAAAAGAATATTACTTAAATGTAACTTAAATGTTACTTAGGAATTTCATTTTGAATATATCACGGGGGATCTTTACTCGTGGGGTGAGTATGAAGTATTATAAAATCTAAGAAGATTTCAGTTGCATCATTGTATATCCCTTGCGTAATTGCCGAGTTACACGTCAGAAACTTCCTACGAGAAGTTGTTAGGTGGTTTTCAGCGAAACGGCGGAAGCCTCAGAAAGTTTCCGCAATCATACACCATTCTAAGATTTATTTAATATTTTGCTGAAAAAATTATTTCTGATTGTTATTTATAATAAATACTTCAAAGCTGTAATCGACTTCAGAACAAAATACCGATAAATTATCACAATATCCTCATTCAAATCTCGTAAATCTTACTTAATTAACATCTCTAAGACAAGCATGCTTCTGATAACTTGATTATTCTGCTCGAATCCCTCATTCTTTTTATGAAAATAAAAAAATTCTTGTCTCTTAATATGAATGGATTAAAAAACAATTCGAAAACAAATGTGTTTGTATTGTTCCTCGAATAATCGTTGGTGCGTTATTATAAAATTGTGAACTGAATGAATCTTACTCTACAAAGTAGTTGTTATCGGCAGGCATTCCGCGATATTAGGAAAGGAAGTAAAACGAAGGAAAAAGAAGCACTACAGTTCTGTGCGTGAGTCACTCGTGAGAACAGGTTTAAAGTTAGTTTTGGTAATCTGCAAAACGCTGATATTTATCAAAACATATGAATCACCCGTTACCCGTTAGTCATCGTTTATTTATATTCTAATGTAAAATACAAATTCATGATTGTCGTAAAAATGCGGCGTTTATCGGGGAGCGCATCGATGCCGAATTGAAGGTTGCCGTCGAATTACCTTGATGAAAAGTTTGTTTGAAATTGAAGAAAGGGACGCGGACGCGCCCAAGTCGATTTGGTTCACGAAGTGTTCAGGGCGGGGCACATTTTGTCCACGTGTTTTCGAGCAATCAAATATCTACCTCGGGCTTGTTCAATTCCGAACAAGGAGCTTGCCGGCACACGGCTGAACAGGTTTTCGTTCTCAGAACGTTCTCCAGTTTCGTAATTTTATAAATACCATGCCATGCTGCACCAAAAGTTCTTTTCAATGACTCGTCAAGGGCTAAGATGTCGCAGCCGCTTAATAAACCGTATGCACGCGAAAACACGAATTCCTCGCAATTATTCACTGCAATATTGATCGACGCAAATTATGCAGATAGTTCAACTGTTGAAAGCGTGGGGCAAGGTCGCGGCAGTCATTCGCACGTACACTTCGGAGATCTATGTTACCCCGAAATGGTCAATGTGTTCATAAAACGAAACCAGTGCATCTCCCTTAACAAGATTATGAACTTCCTCAAAACAAATTCATTTTCTCGACATTTATTATTCGCCTTAAGTAATTGCGGATTAAAGATTGTAGACCAGATTTATTTTCTTGTAAATATTTCGCCTTATGAATGGTTCTGTTAGAACGTCAATGAACATGAGCAAAGTTCGAAAGATCAATGAGATGGACACTACCGCAAGACCCTGAAATGTTTCGTAGGTCATAGGCACACCGTCCATTGTATCTAATGGATAATGGTGGACACGCTTAATAGTGAAGGGGATAGTAAACGAAAATGACCTTTACCTATAAAAATATCCACGATCATTTCTATTCTAACCATCGATCGGAAGTCTTTCGAAATTCAATCGTTTGGAAAGTTTAGCGAGGGTTCGAAGTCGGCGTCCAAGATGTAGACGTCTTGTCCACATCTTCGGTTCGCGAGATTATCGTAAGTTACCAGTACGGAACGCAATAAACCGTTTCGTTCTATCCAACGAGTCTATAGTTACCAATCTCATTCTCGAATAAGTACTTGGTATACACATCCATCGAAGTGTTAATCAAGTAAACAGTCTATTTTGTTATAAACATTGTAAATGAAGAAATACACAATCTTCGGATAAAAAGATATAGCATACTGTACAAAATCCGCGATGAAAAGGAATTCAGCACTTAACGAATATCGCGGCGAATAAAAAAGTTCTAACCCGATTCAACTGATCATAAAAGCTTTTATGCGCTAATGGAATGCGAAGATGCGCGGGGGCGCAATGAAAAGGTAAATTTTAGTAAACTTTAATAAAGTTATCGATTTATTGTCAATTCCTCGATGTTATCCGATAAATAAGAAGAAAACACAATTTACGTTCTTTCCCTTCTATTTTAACCAGTTAAATTAAGCAGGTAAACACGTGTAACTGCTGAAACGGCAAAATGTGGCGAGCTTGTTAAATACGGAAAACTTGGATTTTAAGACGATATAAAATTATAATGTACCGTGAGAGACACAAGTTATTATAGGGAATTATATTTTCAGTGTTATTCGAATCTCAACGAGGCATTAAAGCTTCTAAATTCATCCCCAAACTGGCGTCTCGTGTATTACGTTATCGCTCGGATTAACTTTTCCTTTGAAAAGGGAACTGTGGATCCGCGTGCGCGGGGACAATGAATTTTCGCCATTAGTTCCTCGATCAGAGAGATTCGTGCCAAGGCAGCTGCAACCGTACGCTACTCGGCCACGATCCCAATGACACAGACCGTGGAAATAAGTCTATTCGTAACCAGACGGTCACGTCTACGATCTACCGTTCACCGTCCACGCCATTACAAACTGTCTCTCACCCGCTACGTCACACGGTTAAAAATACGTGGCAGTGTACCACTCAACCCGGACAGATGTACGCAAAACGATGATGCCGTGGCTTTCTGTGAAAGTAGCGTCACGACTTCGTTGCGTTACTCGGACGAAGAAAAGGAAGAAAAAAAAGGTTTCTCGTGTGCACTTTGTATCCGTCGACGGATGACGAATGCGATCGAAGGTCCGCATCGTTACCCAAACCGTTCCGAGGTACATTCGATCACTGACACATGTTCATTGCCATCTAGATTGTTGGTAATCGGAAACGTCAAATTATATGGAAATATTTTAATTAATGCGCTGTGCGGAATGACTCGACTCATAAGAATTCTTGTCAGCGTGTGAACGTTCATGTATTGTAGGGTATTTGTCTAGTGTCATCTTTGTCATTACCTTAATAGAAACAATTCAATCACAACGAATACATAGTGGAACAGTTTCTTTTTTTATTTGTAAAATCATAAAATGTGTACAATGGAAGTTAATATTTCTTAGACAGAAGTTGAATTGCATATGAAAAATAATGTATTTCCAAATAAACGTGTCAAAGTGTCATCTAGGAAATTTGAATCCAGCATTTATGATTTATCGTATCTTGCAATGATTCTTCATTTCATTTTCCATATAATTCGGTTTCGCATTGCGAATAGAGTATTTACCAGGAAACAAAAAGGAATAAAGTTGCGCAATATTTTCTTGGGCGCTTAACTTAGGATAAACGTGTTCATGTTCACCGGTGGTCAAACGATTAGAGTTTCTCTGTGATTTATGAAAAGTCAATATTTTTTCGCCAAACAAAGATGAGCGTCTTTAAGCAATCATGTTTGTAAGACTACAGTGAGAAGCAATAAAATCTAATAAGCATGGCTAGCAGTATTCGTTCTGATCCAGAGAAGTACGGTTTATTACGAAATTATATGACGCGGAAGACGATGGTCTGTTTAAAGGAAGAAAGTTATTCACGATTTTTTATCGGTGGTGCACGTACGAGAGCGTACGATGTTAGGAATGTGTTCGAAATCTAATGAAGTCTTCCTAACGATCATGCATCGTCGATTAAGAATGTAGGCTCCGATACACGGCAGAATACTGGAACATCTTAATATTGATAAGCGGTGAAAGTTTCCCGGTAGTAGAAAGTTTACGAGGCGAATAATTAAATTTAGATGTTCTATTCAAATGGTGGGAGGTGGAATGTGGCGTGTGTTTCTGGCGAACAATTCGACCGATTGCTCCCGAGCGTGCAATTGAAACACGTCGGAAACTAGAGGCGAATGGTTCGCTTACGATACGATACACGCGTGTTACGCAACCACCCTGATTTCGACAGTACGAAATTTCTACGAGAGGCGAATCAGAAAAAATGTTACCCGAGTGAACGTTCGAATACGTAATTAGGCAATCGATTTCATATGCGTCTACGTTCTACCAAGTTTTGTTATTTAAAGGGAGACACCATCTAGAGACGTTCTAAATATAGGTAAACTTAAGGAATCTTTTTGTTAATAAAAATTAAGTGAAAACTCTTGATTTTCCCTGGATGTATAACTGTAACCGTCTGCTTTATATTTATATTTTTCCTAAATAAAAATGTTACAAAACGGCGCAGTTATTCGCTAGCTTCGGAACATCTTTTCGTAAAACATCCATCGTTGGCCAACTCGATTGCAAACAATGAATATTCGTTCAGTGATACTATAGATTACAATTAAACTGAATATGAACTATTAGCCAACTCTTTTTATCGTATCGTTTATGTACTATCCCTTTAAAATAACTAAAATGTGAAAGGAGTTTAATGTGCAATATTATTGAAATCGATGGTACGTGGAATAATATTCGGAGAATTAATGAGACATCCTTGCCGAATCTTTTGAATATTTCACGAGGAAGAAAAACTAAATCGAATAAAGCATCGGAAAAATTCCGTAGAGTCCGAGAGCAAGGTTAACAAGGCACGAAAGATTCTTAAAGCTTGGCAGGTGCGTGTAGATTTAAGGTCAACGCGATTCGGTTCGCTCGATCTTAAGGTTATCAGTGACGGTGAATGATCTGGTACCTACGCAACCCTCCTTTTTCTCCTTCGAACGACATTCCGCGCATTTGCGCAATTTCCCCGTGGTACTTACGGCTACGCTCGCCTTTCCCCTCGGCGCGTTGTTCCGGTTACTTCTAATACCGGAAAATTAACGCAAAATTGACCAACTATTTTTATTGCGACGACCGGCTTGGAAAGGCTCAACGACATCGTTCGAGAATCACATCTCCGCTGGATATTCCTCGCGGTAACAAATTGTTTTGCCATCGAAGTGCTTCGAGTTCCGTGCACGTGGCTGGATGCTTCGACCAGAAGTAATCCCGTCTCCGATACTCGATCCGATTACAAGACAAACGATGAACTTTTCTAGAATACGGATAGCGACGCGCTGCGCTGCGTTAGCAAAATAAACGCGTACAAATAATCTCGCGAGCAATGTATATTAATCATTGATGTTTACAATGTTCCCGAACAATTGCTCGTAATAATTAGAATGCATGTATTCCCCTGTTTCACTTTCATCATTTAAAAATGGACTACTTTCACTCGGGTAACTATAATTCATTAAAATTTCACAAACTGTAAGTTCAAATGGAGTTGTATGAGTTTAGGTATCCGTAAACGAGGAGTACAAGCGTGGTAAAATAAATTAGCGGAATGAGGATAGAATTAGAAAATGTACTTGGTCAGTAAGTAGATGCACATTGGGAACGTTATCCTTCGTGGCAATGCTACAGAAATGTCTAATTAGCACCGAGCGAAGTCAATCGGTGCACAGTTATCAGCCCCGCGTGTGCAACTTGCTGGAATGAATGGGACGTCACTCGAGTAGCCTGCAATGCGACCGTATGCAATCCGCATCGGACTATGCATGCACTACGTGTCATCTCGACTGGGAGGCTGTCACTCATGGTGTCCGCGTCTTACTTGATTACTAGCAAACCGTACACAGCGCTCTGGGAACGCGTCAGCGTTCCATGAATGAACGCACGTGCATCATATTATTGGCCGAGGCACGTACGTTAAAAAGCCAAAAAGGGACAGCCAAAGAAAGAAAGAGACGGGAGAAGGAAATGGAGAACTGGAAAATGTACGATCAGACGTACGCGTGCATCCGGACACTGCTAGCATCTGTATATAGTTTCTTCTAGTACTTCTAGTATCTTCTTACTAATCAAGAATAATGATTCCTGTAATATACAAATTTTAGTCTGTCATTGAAGTTCAATGTTAAATGTAAGCTACTTTCTGTAATATACTTATAGTTACTTTCATTTTCTTTCATTTCGTTTAAACTTTGCTCGTTGAAACTGTAACGAAATACAATTAAACGAAGATTAAAATTGTAGGTTAGGACGTGAAGTATTTCTATCATAAAGATAAAAACAGGAACTCATCGTTTAATGGTTTGGCTCAGATTTTTGTTCAGTTGTTCAGGGAGCAAAAGAAAAATTAACACCCTATCTCGCCTATTCTTTTCAATCATACGGAGAGAGAACAAAAACAGTGATTAATAATAAAATATATTCCCTTGCATTCAAAGTAGCTACTATGAATTGGTATCCACTAAAAACCTGTTTGCGTGCAATCGGATACAAGTTTGTTGAAAAAATTTACTTCAAAGTAGACTTTACGAGTATTTCAGCATGGGTCGTAAATGACCCGACGTTGATCTCTAGGATCTCTGCCAGATAATTGACCATTTGATGGTTAAGGCGTGGATTTCTGCGTGAAGTTCGACAGTGAACGTGTTAACGCGTCGAATGTAAAGCCTTGAACGTTCTAGTCGTTAAGTCGTCAGACAGTATCGTAACAGAAAATGCGAGACGAGCGAGGATACGCGAATTGATCGTTCGCGTATACCAGTACCTTACTGCGCTGATAGGTAATTCTAGCTATTTTCAAATAGACAGTGTCAGATTATACGCACGGAAAGTTACATGTTGGTATGTATAGTCGTGTAATAATACCTGCAAGTGCGAACGTCCTGATTGTAATCCGTGGACGATTCGATGGCGTGGTGAAACGTTAAAATAAAATGGCCAAGGGGCAACGGAGGGGAGGGAAAAAATATGTGAAAATTTTCCTTATTTCCAGATAACGATCGACGATTCTCTGCGCACAATGGGGACGATACCATCGTCGGCTACGAATCGATCGCAGATAATAATCGACGATTATTTTAAACCGAACGGGATATCAGATTCGAAACACGATTTCGAAGTGAACCACCACTTTCGAGTAAAACCGTGCAAGTAGACGACGCAGTTTTCGATGCCGCGAATTTATCAGCCACGTTATTGGATCATATTGTATGTTCTGTCAACAATTGTATTTATCTCAGTAACGTAACAAGAAACGCAATTAGCGGTAATTTCGTAGAACTTGAACCGTTCATTGCTCCAAGGGACGTTTCTCGTATAACACAGAGCCAAAACTATTTTCATGTGTGTTTCGTAATATTTATTGAGCGATTAACCGGCGCCGCTTGAAAAACGCTTGAAGAAGATAAGCCGGCTACCCAATTTCTTGAGAAACGAAGTCTGTGGGAACGAACAGGAAATCCGATATCTATATAGTGTAACATTACCCCGGTTGTTCTGTTTGTGTCACATGCTGCGCGTAAGTGCATATCTCGAGATTAAAGGCTGTTGCATAAAAAATTCAATTCAATCGTAACACGTGTAACCTTGACATCGGTTAGAATGTGCTCTTTGTAACCGTTTTTTCGAATAAGCAACTTGTTTTTTTTTTACATTGCTCATGCTAAAATATAGAAAATTTCTGTAATATTTGCAAATGCGATGCACAATGAGGAAAATTTGTGGTTACATTTGCAATGCAAAATTCTTCTGCGTACAATAATAGAAATAAATGCATCTTGTTATGACATTGTGCTTCCAGTGAATATTTCGTTATTCAAGACGTTAATTGTACGGATTAACGTAATGTGCCTGGATACTTGACAGTTGATAAGGAAAATTAAGTTGTTTATTAAAATTTCAGTTACGTAAGTACGAATGCATCGCTGGAAACATCCTTGAAAACGTGCTGTAAAGGAAATTTATCTCGTATCCGCCAATGGAATGAGTTTCCACGTTGGCATTGTCGTTCGTCATTAGCAAAGAAGATGCCAGGTAAATTTACAATAGCGGGAAGTAGCGTGCATTCAAATTGTAACTAATAACACCCGCATTCCAGGGACATTCTCCCAGCTGCCTACTAATGCGCCGCGAACCGGCCATATGGACTAGACGATTAATTGAATAAGAGCCAACTCTGATACCTCTTGATTCCCGCGTTCTTCTCGCTGTTACTCGAGAGCACGAACGACCTGGAATTCGCGCAACTAGAAGCTAAACGATAAAGCCTTTTCCGAGACACTTTTTGTTCAACCAAATTCCCATTAACTATCCGCGATTTTATTTACAACCGCTCTAGAATCTTTAACGATCCATCTTCGCACTCAGGTGATCTTGACATGTTTCTTTATCTTGTAATTGAGGCTTGTCGAAAATCATATCGAAACAGTATTATCAGTATTACTTGAAACGATTTAACGGTTTGTCCTTGGCAACGTTGACGAATTGGATTTACTTTTCTATATGGTCCTATAGGCAAAGTGACAATTACTTTTACATCAATTTTAGATACTTTGAAAACTACCCTTATCCTGTTACGCGCTTTTTAGCTGTATCAGTGTATCAAATTATGATTAACCCAGTTCTTTTTTCGCTTTTTTTAATCCAAGGAGAACTATGTGCAAACATTTAACTAAAATTGACAGCAACCACTCGATCTATTTTACTTCCATTTTTAAAACGTTCCAATGTTCTTTGATCTTATTGTGGGTATGTCCATGGTGTATCTCCGGTAGCGTTATCAAATAGGAGGGCCTGAATGTACTCGGTGGCGGAGGTTAACCGACGCCAGCACGTTTCATTCATTCTTTTTTCCTACACTTACTATTTCGTTTACTCCCTTATTGCCTCTACAGCGTTTTCCATTTGTCTTTGTATTTTCATCACGTCCCCAATTGTGTCCCCGAGCTGTAATGCTGGTACCGCTTCAAGACAAGGTTGTCCCGATCGTATTATTCGGAAGTGAAATTCAATTTAACGAATAGCCCGAACCATCCGCTGTGAAAACAGCACCTCACCGCCAGGCTGCTTACGTTCGAGCAACATTATTACCCGGAAATAAAGATTAATCTTCCAGATGAAACACCGTAGATACGGGCAATTAAAAATATTCCAAGTGTCATAAGTTTTTTGCAACAAAACAAAGGCATTCTGCTTCTCACGATTCTAGGCCCATCGAAGCGAAATCGTTTTTTCTTCAATTCTCTTTCTCGCGACTAATTTTCTTATGTAACTGAAGCCAAATGGACGGTTAATTTGATTAAAAAGGAAATAAGGAAACGATTAATGTCATCTCAGAGTTTTTGATCCGTTAACGCTCTGCCTGCTCGTATTAATTGCTGGCGACCAATGCCGCCCGGTTTCATGCGGGGAGATGTTAACTTCGTGTTTCATTCCTTCTGTAAACGACCGATATCCGGCCGGGTTTCACGCGTTTTCCCGTTACATCCTATTTGTCCGCCAGTCCCGTGGAAATACGTAGCGGCGAGATACCCGACCGACCTTCTCCCCCGAAACGGTTTTAGCCCGGCGCGGTGAACATCTGCACCTACGAAGCGTGCGTAGCCAACCCTCCGACCGAAAATAGAAACTATTATGATGGAGCATCTGCACCGAAAGTGGAACGAGGAGGAGAAATCTTAGCAAAATATGGGATCAACTGTGTCGCCTGCCAACGCCGGGGGAACTTGGACAACTTATCGCGTGTAGAAATTGTCTGCGGCTTGCATGCGCGAAACGGACGCCAGTCCTACAGCTCTTCTCGCTGTGCGACGAAAAACGGACGAATCTATTTTTCCTTACACGCCCGACGCTTCATATCAGAACTACCGAGTATTCGAAACAACTGTCAACAATTTTCCAATCAAAATACCGAATTACAAGAGTGCATTTATTGAAATTTCGATTGACTTATATTGCAGTTTGCGTGTCATCAAACCAATATACTTAACAATTTCTTCAAGCTTCGTTTGTATTTTCCCAAGTATTGTAAAAAAAAAATCTAATACCATTGTGACTCGTCTAGTAGTTTTAGCGTGAACGTTTCCTGAACTTCTGGGAACAAATTCTACGAATCTATTATCCGACTCGTTCTATCGATCTTCTATTCTTCCTACAGCATGCATAGAATAGTATAAACAGTAAAAGATAGCTAAACTACAGTAGAGCAGTGTAAGCATCAGATTAGGCGTTATAGTTAGGAAGCCAGCGCGAGAAAGATAATACAATAAGATAATGGAGAAGCAGAAGTGACATATCGTTATTATTTATACTCGGCTCCGCGCGCGTAAATAGTACACTAGCGATCAGGAAGGACGAGCTCGGATACATTTGCAAATCATTCACAGATGGAGCTTATCAGTAAGGTCAACCGTAACGTACGGAAGAATGGCCACGATAATGGCGCGGGAAGGGGAGCGGGCGACAAGAAGAAAAAGTTCGTCATGGACTGAGAGTAACGCGAGGTACTTCGGTATAATCAACTTCGGTAATCAGCGCTAACGCGGCTATGCGCGACTGGGGGAACGATGAATCATTGATAACTCTAACGGTTACGTAAAAAACAACAACCGAGTGGTACGGAAATTATTAGGCTTCTTGAAACTGCGCTGTTGTTCGCCAGTCTCGGAAGAAAATTAACGAAAACCGTCCGCTTAATTCACGGCTCGTTATGTAAGGTCGTAAGACGCGCGTACGTCGTGGCCGGAATGCGAGACGAAACGTTCTTTTTGTTGGCGCTTCGTCGGTCCGCGGAGACCTCCACGCGGTTTCCGCTGATGCGATGGTCCGGTTCAATCGGCTTGGAAGGAATTCTCTGGAACAAGAAAGCTTCTGAATCTAATTGGCGGCGTGGCAGAAGGTCAAGGCTACGTGGACACGACGCGACACGCGAGGTTCGACGTGCCGTCGCGTCGCCGCGTCGCCGCGGTCATCTCTCCGGCTTCGCGCGTGCCGCGTTTCAAATGCGACTTCCCTAGATGACCCAACACGGAAATCGAATCTTTTGCGCCGCGATTGGTCTATCAGCCACGTTGATTACACCGTTTTTTTCTGACAAAGTTCAGATATCTTTGCGAGAGGTCGTCCAGCCGTTGCGTTGAATGCAACGCGCCGTTTCACATCGGGGGTTAACGCACTTTTCTAGGAACGAAGGGATCGATTGGCGGAATCATCTAATTTTCATTGGACACTAAGAACTTCGACGTATTCGCGTTAATACTGATGTTATTCGAGTTTAGAAGCAGCCTGTTTGGGGAATAGAGTTGATGTATAAGTTTCATCTTGCTACGCGTATTATTAATCAAATGAAATAGCGGTTCAAGTATGTGTTCACTGATTCGAAAATAAATGTGACGTTTAAAATAAATGCTACTGTTTACAACAAGGACTTTTGAGTTTGCTAGATAAGGCATTGGCGAGTAGTTTCTTATCTTTCATTCGTAATTCGACACTCGTTGATTGGAAAAGATCTTTACAGAATTTAAAGGGTAATGGGATAGCTGCATTCTTCTTCGAGCAACGCGACCGCGAAATTTTTCCAGTGCTTTAAAAAAAGCTTCGTCGCCAGTTCACGTTATCGACAAATGCGCCGATAGCACGCGAACCGATCGTTATGAGCACCGCTGCTAAGGTGATTGCGTATCATCATTGGGTGTGAGTATATACCGTATGCCGTATGGTCACTATATGCCTCACGACGTATGCCGTACGACATCGTGAGATGCCTTAGAACAGGGGAAAGAGGGGAGCGGCCATGTTGGTCCCTGGCCTGCAGCATAGGCAGTCGAGTTGCCGTTGGATATCCCGTTTCCCCGACAGTTTCCAGTATGTACTCAATGATGCTTAACGCTGTTGGCCATATTTTTATTCGTCAATGATACAAATCGATGCTAAAGTGCGATGATTTCAAGAGAACTTCACAGATTCGTAATGCACCCTTGATAGGAGTGATAGATAATTTTTCCTGAAATTCCTTGGAACTTTAGCGTGAAAAAACTACTGAAAGATCAATTCATTCTTTCCCATTGTTCCATAAGTATATTCTTACGTCACACTCCTTCATATTTCACAGAAGTTTTGTTCAACTTGAATGGCGAGCATGGATCTCCTGAGAATAAAGAAGAACATATTTCCTCTCATCCGCATTACAAATATAAAGCATTCATTGCGCGATTTTATGGTCAACCTCTCGCCTCGCACGCAACACAGACCAAGACTCGTGAATATTTCAGATTGCGTTTAATAAACACGAACATTACTCATTTCTTTCGCGTTGAAACGAAATAATATTTTTCTTTTATCGCAGCTCAACCTTTGGAGTTCGACAGAACTACTCTTTTTTCAGCAAACACGATACGAGAGGTTCCATCTTTCAGCCATCATGGAATGTTCGAATTCGGTCCGATGTTCTTCACGATTATGGCTCTGAACGGTTATAGCCGGGCGGAGCGGCATTAAATCTTAATTCGCAAGGGCGCTGGTTTTTCAACTTTCCGGCTGAACGCCGTGCTCCTCGTTTCCGTTGATATCGTCGTCGAATAGGTCAAGGATTATTGACACGCGAACTTCGAAAGTGTGGCGGGATACTAAGAGCGCCGGACACGACGAGCCGGCCGGCTGTCGCTGTCGCTGTCGCATTGTTTACATGAACAAATCGAAGCGGAGCGTCCTTTCGTGTTACTTAATGATCAGCGGACGCGCCTCCAGTGACTAATTCTTCGGGGAAGACCCGCAGATGCGGACGGGCGGAGCTTCAGCGAGTCTCCTCGATATTTCCTCGTTCGGTTGATTGATCGCGCCTTGGCTCGTCCCGACAAACGACGGGGAAACATCTTGGATTTTGCGCGCCTTGGACGCATTAGCGTCCGATTCCCGGCGGGCAATCAGTTACGCAACAGAAATTAAACGGACACCTGTAATTGCAGGTATCATCTGCGTATGATAAAGCGCGGTTTGCGGAATTCTGTTGCGGAGCTGGTGGGCGTCGCGCCAATACTTCACGCAGGGTTGTTGCCAGCACTAACAATAAACGAACGGTTTTCGTTTTACTTAGAAACAAACGCTTCCCACCCTCTATTTATTATTATCGCGTCCCGCGAATAGATTCTTTGTCATATACGTGATGTTTCGTCTGGTTCGATCGCTGGGGAAGTATGTAAACAGGGATGAAAGCTTCCGATACAGTTTCCTTCGGTTTGATACTGGCACACAGAGTCTTTCGGTTTTCAGATTCGATATTACATATTCCGTGTTTCATGGTGTAGACGATGTAAATATGACACTGTATACAGCGGAACGGTATAAATAGAGTAAAATAAGATGAGTTTTAGCGTTCATGCACCACATATTGTTGACATTAAAGGACAGACGATTTCTTAAAGCGTAACCGTTACTGTTAGCACCGCACGCTGTGTTCTCTGGGTTTTCGATCGTATTGGTTTCCATTGAAAAGTAATAAGAATAGAAGTTGAAATATACTGTCAATCTTTTGCAGTCGATTATCGAGGGGCTGATTCCCGTGAGTCACCGTTGGTGGCCGCTATTGATTGAGTTGCTGCCGTCGGATTTTTCTTCGAAGCTTCGAAGTTTGAGAAACAAAGGTTTTCTAAGGAAAATGAGTGGTACATTTTCTAGTTAGACGGTGAAGGAGGAATGAAAAATAAATACAAGGGTAAAAATAATGGTTTAAAGGTCTTGATTCAAGCTATTAAACAAAGTTAACGTTGTCAGAAATCGATGTGCGGTAAGCATGAAAACATAATGCCTATCAGCTGCTGGTAAATCATAGGAAACGATTACAAAGCAAAAAAAAAACGATCCCCTCGTACCAAGCGTGCATCGAAATGCATTCCGTAAAGTAAGAAATCCGAAATCTATTGTTCCATCGTTCGTCGGTTCTTTTCTCAATCGACAACGAACATTCCCCTGAGTTACGAAATTTCTACGGTAGCACTTCCACCGTTGTTCACCGTATTACATTTCTTTTTTCTTCTGCATCTGGATCGCTCGAGCGTTGCATACCAAGCGTATGAAACGAAACATACTCGGTATCGCTTCTTTGAACGCCAGTAGTAACCGGAGGAAGTATTCAATGCGATTCATCATCGGGTTTGTCATCGATACGTCGGAAGTCTAGCGGTGCTGATCGAAAATGAACATATCCCCATGACCGCAACCTGTAACGATACACGATGGGAACTCGGTCGAGCGGTAGACGGAGGGCGGAGGGAAAAAGTGAAATCATTTTGGACCGTCGAGATAACGCGGTCGATGATAGTCGAACGGCCGATGACAGTCCCGCACACCTACGCGTGCTGTTCGCTTTTGAGTGCAGTTAGAAAGCGTATAAAATTACAGGAAGCCATCGACTATGCGCTTTTACCCCAAGATTCACGGGCGTTCGGTCTTTTGCAAAAGAATAGTTACATAGAAAGAAACAGGTATGAATGTTATAGACGTAACGGGAACGTCTGTAACGTTCGTAATCGCACGAACAGGTTTCCGTTTAATACCCGAACGTCCGAAGACCACGCTCGTCTTTAATAAAGGTGCAATTATCGTACCCCGGGATATAATAAAAGTCTGAGGTTGCGGAGTGTTCATTCGATTCGCGTCACGTCATATCCCTTTGATCTCGCGATCGGACACATGTTCGCACGTCCGTTTTACGGGCTGCCAAAATTGGCCCTCGCAGATCCTACTTTTTTGTGCTTCCTTTCGTAAAAAAGAATCATCTGTTTTTAATTCCACCCCTAAAAAAACAACGTTGGCCTCCTACTATCCTCCACAGCAGGTGAACCTATATAATAAATTCAAAGTTACACAAATAAAGAATGTGAGTCAATCGAAGGACAATTTTAATATATATTCTACTATCAGGTACATTTGCAATATTATTAATTTACGAATATTTATATTTCAATGCGAAATCAATTAAAATTTAGATCTGACCCAAACACGGTCATGGTTTTTAAAGGTTGAATAGAAAAGAAGTGACCGCAGTCGGTAAAACGATTTCAAACGGAAAAATGTAATGTTTATGTAGGATGGTATGCAGATAGATCTGTGCCGCAAATTCCTAATCGTTCTAACACCGGTCTCTAGATTGGTGCGTCGAGTTCAGCTGCACTTACGGTTGTACGACCTTTCCCATTCGGGCAGCGGAGGCAGCCACTACCAACCTAAGATCAGTCGTTCACTAAACCCCGAGCGAAAAACAAACGAGCGGAGCGACCGTTGATCGGCGCATCGTGCACGCGTATTCGACGATCTTCCTGTTGTTTTCTTTATTTCGTGTTGTCCCGTGAATCAGCGCGCGTGCATGCGTCTCTCTCATGACAGAAATTAAAAGAGGACGGCCCCGGGCACGTTCGTCAGCCGTGCCGATTTACATTCCATCGTTATCAACGCTTGGTTTTCTCGATACTGACAGCTCAGAGCAACGTTATCGTCGCAGCCACAAGTGCTCGGATGTAAATAGAAGGAAACCGCTACTGTCAGTCTGCCTGCAGTATCAAACTACTCGCACACGACATACACGGTCCTGTGACGTGCGGGCGTCCAGTGACGACACTAGGAGCAAAAAATTTTAAATAGTTTCTTTTCCATTTACGTTGATCCTCTTCGTAATCCTGATCGCAAAAAATGTGAGGTTTCCTCTTGAAACGTTCAAGTGCTCATCTGTTTATCTCTACAGTGATAAATGTTCAAAAGTGACAACAAAATTTTATCTCAAGTTGAACGTTTTGTTTCTGTGAATTTGTGTTTCGTGGAAAACAGCGAACACAAAGTGCATCTTTCTTCATAGGCATCGTTAAATAAACAGAAAGTGGTGTTCAGTTTTTGAAAGTACGCAAAAAGTAAGAGCCGTTACGCTTATTATTAAGCATACAAACACACTTTCTTCTCGAACTCTTCTTCGAAAGGTAATATCTACATTCAAGTGAAAGATGTTTCTTCGTTATTGATCTTGAAGATCTAAGTGACGATAAATAATATTTTCCGAATATTCTACACAAGACAAACAACGTGTCGTTAATACTATAGAGTCGGCTCGAGAAGTCTCCTCTCAATCTTTCCAAACTAAAGCCGCCGGGCACACGGACGCCTCGATACGGCCCTGTTCAATGGCCGCGCGGACTTTGCATCCGTTTTGTTGGCAGTAGTGCGCATAGTAGTATTCAGTGCGTCGTGCGAAAAGCAGTGGAGCTTGGCGAGGTCGCCTTTTGCGTTGGCACGGAGATTCTTCGGTGCGTGTTTTCGGTCGCGTTCCCGGGCCGAGGGAATCTTGTACGATCAAACGCCTCCGTGTCGACCCGTTCACGCCGCGGCCGAACGAAAGTGATGAAGTGCGACTCTGTGCGCGAACGTGCAGGGCGTAGCCAGTCATCGTGGAAAATCGCCTGAAAACGAGGGACGGAAAGGCAGTGCGTGACAGTCGGGAATCTGCCATTGGAAAGGATATCTTGTTATCTTTTTCGCACCAGCAGCGTTTCGCGTACCTTACTCTCGTGCGGGCTGGCCGCTGCATGATCGTCATCGCCGCTTATCGTCATCCTTTCTCTCTCTCGTTCTCTCTACCCCGCCTCCTGTCTCTCTCCTCCGTTGGTTCTCTTTCTCTAGCGTCTTATTCCGTAACACTACCCATCCCGTGCCACTTCGTGCTCGTGCTGCACAACGCGAGACCGAGAGGAACGTCCACGCCACGCATGGTGCAGCCCCGATCGCAACAGAGTCGCCAATTCAAGTACGAGGTAAGCAGTTATTGACAATCCCGTCCACCCCGGTTCGGTGGTTCCGTCACGATGCGCTAGCGTTCCCAGAACGGAATTCCCCGTGTGTCCAATTGATTTTATCGAGCAACGAATACGAAACAAGGGAGAGGCATATAATATCTATGGGGTTGCGGATTCCATTGGTTGTCGCGGCAGTGCTGGGTTTCTCTCCGTGGTTCTGGCACACCCATCGCTGCGCCGACCGCTGGCCACCGTGTGAGTTCGAGCCGAGCGGAAGGACGAGTCTCTTTCTCTCTCTTTCTCTCTCTCCCCCTCCCCCTCTCTCTATTTCTCTCTCTCCTCCTTTTTTCTCTCTCTCTGTCTCTTCCTTTCCCTCCGTCCCTCCTCTCCCTCTTGAGCTCAAAGAGGGAGAGTAAAAAGCCGGCATACCGCAGCCTTAGACTTCGCTCCATTTTCCACCTTTATTGAATTATTCCTCTCCCGGGGATTTCACTTGAGGCCGGCCGTGCGTCGAGCGGGCCGATTAATCTCGCGGGAAAGGAAGACGTTCCCTGAGCGCGATTTCGGTGTCGCGATAACGGCGAAACAATTCCGTCTAGAAAGCGATCATCATCCTCCTCAGCGTTGCCTCTTTTTTGGCGGAGGCGCTGAGCCAACCAAGGATCAGGGGGATGTGGAGGGTGCTGGGCGGGAGGGACCGCGAGGGGCGGAGGGAAGGACTTTCGTTTTCCTCGAAACGAGAAAATAAAGAGGACGAGCAGAGAGAAAAAAAGATCGCAAGGAATTGTATACAAGCGTGCGTGGGGCACCGGGAGAGTAGGGGAGCTAAATTCTGACGTACGCTTTGTTCGAGCTGGCATTCGACTTTCTCGTACCTAGCACGAGTTTCACGCTCCTGTCACGGTGCCGCCTTGCCTGCTTGGTCATCATTCCGCGTTCGCGCAAGATCATTTTGTTCCCTTTTTTCTTTTTCATTCGCGATCTCGCAGTTGGTCGAGTTTCAATTTAATATCGCGCGAGTACCGGGTACTCTCGAGTACAATGAAAGCCACGATTCAGTAAGCCCCAGAAGCTAGAAGGATGACTCGTCCAGTATTCGTTTATTTCTTACTTTGTACGCGTGGTCATGTTTTATGATTTCAACGGCATTCCTGCCGGTTGTCTTTCGTTCAACACTAGAACTACCTAACATTTTTTATAAAAGTAGATAGTTGATTCCTTTTGCGTGTGATTGGAAGTATTTCTATTTGTAATGGAAACTCTCGATAATATGTTGAATAATAAATAAATGAATTGAATGTAACTTGTACGAGTTGAAATGAACAAAATGGCCTGCACGCAATGTGTTAAAAGCATTAAATATTGCAAATGATTTTTAAAATAAATAGCTTCATTTGGATACTATAATGAAGGTCTGAAGAAACTGAAAATAATCTATTGTTACAATGTTTGTAGGGATTACATGGCAATCGTATTAAACCCTCAGTAGGTCTAGTGTTAAATCTCTTCGCAATGCCGCATACCCGGTGCAACGGCGAAAACAAACTCGAGAAAAATTTACCCGAGCAGAATCGTTGCTCTACGTTGGATTTAACGCTGAACGTTCGGCGCGACCCGGTGCACGCGGGTTTATTCAACAACGCGAATAAGAATTTCGTTTGCATTGACGCAAGAGTTAAATTGACACTAGTACTACCGAGCATTTCACACGATTAATACGTAATCTCTATAGAAATTGTCACAGTAAATTATTTTCAATTTACTTAGACATTCATTATAGTATTCAAATGAAGCTATTTATTTTCAAGCTCATTTCAAATATTCAATGCTTTCAAGATATCAATAATTGCGATGCAAAACAATCTAAACAAGTCATTTTGATTGTTACGGTAGTTTTAATGTTAACACAGTGTTAACGGGTCAAAATGACCCATTTCTGATTTCTTCTTCCCGCGATTATTAAAAACATAGCAGATGCTTTTCTGGGAGTTATTAGAGAAATTCGTTTGGCTATGCGCTAACTGAATTATGAATCAATTAAAGTCTCAATAGACGCACTCTTGGAGTTTTTATAGAGAAGTTTCAAAAAGCCAATTTCAGTGCTCGGTAGTTCTAGTGTTAGGACACTCCGCGTCCGTGCACGGTTGACGACGCGCGATCAGCGTTATCAGCGCAACAATTCCAACGCAACCGCCGTGACTCAGATAATAAAGTTACGGAATTTTCGATATCGATGGGCGCGCTGGTTCGGTACCTGCCGATCACATTTCCGCGCGCGCGATTGTAAATCGCGTACGAGACGATTGTTCGCGCGGGATTGGCCCGCAAGGCGTCCGTTACGCACAGGCGTCGTTTTCGCCGAGACGTTTGCGTCACGAGCAAAATTCAATCGTAACACGTTTCCAACTGTGGCACGATTGACTGTTCGCCGCACGCGTTACTTAATGTCTCATCGGTGTATTGGTGACGCGACGGAGATCGTTGTTTCGCTCGATCGCGAGGTTAAACGGCACCGGCCGATACGAGTTCCTTTTATCGGATCACGAGCGGCGCTGATAACGGCCGAAAACAGACCGTTTTTAAACCCGTCGCTTTAATACCGGTTTCCGGGCACAACAATGGGTAACCTTCTATCGAGGAACCGTAGAAAGACCAACAATGGGGGAGGGTACTCGGGCACCTACCTCAAAATAATAAAAATTCGTTATTTTCGTTACCTGGAATACTATCGTTTCCCCAAATTGCATCGGGAATCATGTTCAATAATATTTGCACAACAACTTAGCCTTGTAACGTAAATTGACGTGTAAATATTGGTTCGTCAAGATTAATAACTCGACAAAATTTGTACACTTTATCTGCTAATTGAAATTTTCCTCTCGCTTATTATTACTCGACGCACAATGCGGTATGTAACTTGTTTATCTTCGAAAATTGTTGATTTCCAAGATAGTACGCGATACGAGTGCTCAACGGTTTTAAGTCGGCGTGAGTTGCCAGTGGCCATTCGTAATGAATATCAGTACAAGTCGACTACCATTATCATGTCTGATTAACATGAAAGATTATAGGACTATTAATTATTTATGCTTGCGCCGGTTGATTCGCCGATAATCAAACCAGCCGGTGAATCGAGATTCCTGTTCGCGTTCGAAATTCAATAATTATCTTTTTTTTTTTGAGTTTTCGTTGAGCACTGGAAGATCGCGTAATTTCGACGATCGCAGTTGTTACCGGTATTACTGCTTATCGCGATTATCTTGGGGCGGCTCGTCGAAGTTATATTATACCGACGATAACGTTCCGCCGTCACGTGGGCTTCTTTCTTTTTTTCCTCCCCTTTCAGTCTCATTCGTACGGCACGATTGTTCCTCTTCTGTGTTCGTAGGTGAACGATCAACATGAACAGCAGATGACTGTTGGCCGAGCTGTTGCTCGTTCGACTTTAATATGAGTGAAGTAGTTGCTGTTACACCTAGTGCTGGACCGACACGCCAGGAAAGCGTGGCACACGTCAAACGGCATAAATTAACCAACTGTAATGTTCCTCTTGTGCACGGACGGACGAATCCACCGATCAACAACCGTAACAGGCTGACCACTCATCAACGGAATCACAGTTTGGACTTTAGGTATGTAACGAACAGACGGCGGTCCTCGCTTCCGGGAGACATTTATAGAGCTAGATAACCGGTCATCATTTTTCGTCTCTGCTATCTGAACACTCCGTAGCACTATCTTCGTAGTACGGCCCTAGCGCCGAGGCAAACGCCCGGCTACTCGCGCGGCAGACAGAAATAATTATCTTAATGACATATTTAACCTGCAAGAATCAGCGTTGCATGCGAAGTAAGTTTGATTGACGCTAGAACTACCGGGCCAGTCAAAAATGTCCAAGCTGAAAATTCTTCTTTCGCGATAAGTACACAGCGTACCTCTGTATTTGTATGAATATAGCTTTTTACTTTTATTGGGGAATTAGGAAGAAACCACTCTAATTGCTCGGTAGTTCTTGTATTAATCGGAATAAAAGTCGACGAAAAAAAATAGTGGGTCACGGATGTTTTAATTCATAATTAAACTTCCCGCCTACGCGGTGGTCTGCCTTTCGCGGTCCCATCCAGCGCATTTCCTTTTCAAATTGGATACCGACGCTTGTGTCCTAAATGTTAGGCATTCATGAGAATATACTTTCGTTGGAAGGCATCTGAAAGGTGAACCGCGTGTTTATTTTTTCGCCGGATACTCGTGATTGCTTGTGAGTGTATGGAATTATTGTTTATAGAAACATAGCACAATATTCCATTCATGAAAATGTTGTACTGGAAGCTTTTTGTTTTTTGTCGAAACACGCGGCGAAGCTTCGCAGTTTTATTTTGTTGGTAGATACTCGTATTTGTTCACAATTGCATGCGTATTATTTAAAGATCTGCGTACTCTGATTTTTAGAGCCACCCGGTATGCACACATAGTGGCACGATACGATGCTACATGGCGGTATACATTCTACCTTGCTACTCTATAGCAGAATACAGTATGCATTGACTGCAGTAAAGACGTCGGCAATTCAGCTGACAATATTTGATCGATATTCGTTGAGATTTACGTGTTTCGCATTTTATTAAACATCTTCGTTTATTATCCACGATGACGCAATGCAGTTTTATGTATATATTTGATTTCTGTGTTCGACGAACAGTAATCTCGTTCTGCATTTAATATAATACGAACTCGGTTGTCGGCGTGAAATGTCACAGGGGCAATCGCGGCAATCTGTCTTTATTTTCGCTTCCTTATTTATATTAGAATCTCGAGTACACGCAAAATTTTATTTCACGTTGCACCGGGACGAACGTAATTGAAATAAAATTCAAGAGTAAATAACACAGGAGATTTATTCAGCGTGAAACTTTTGTTTCGAGTAGAAATTAATTCCCTGAAAGCCTGCCTCTCGTGCAGTTCACATTCAACTGTTCTCTTCCCAAACGCACGTTGTTATTCGTTCGACGCGTACACGCGCACACACGCTCGCTTTCTAGAGTCTTCAATAAAACAGGCAAATGCTCTCAATGCATCGGCTATTAAAGCAATTTTAAACTTGAATACGTATGATGAACACATTCAAACCGGTGAAAAGAGGGGTATCTTCTAGCTACACTCTGCAACGAATAGTAACATTGTCATTAAACGAATTATCAGACGAGATTAACGTATTGTAAAATTGTTTTCAAAGTAAACGATAACATCGCGCGGTACACAAACGTGTATTGAATTGAATGAAATCCTTTATTTTATGATTGTTAAAGCGTTTCTTTGCTTTCGTGGCAAATTCTTCCGTTTAATCGGATAATGTTATCGGCGGTATTATATTATCTTTTTATAGCTTCTTTCCTACGTTCAGAATTGTACATACAAGGAAACCTCGTATAATATGATTTCTTTATAACACGGTTAGAGAATTGGGCAATCCCCGGTAGAACACAGTACTTCCATTGAAAGATGCATAAAATGCAGGAGAGAGAATACCACAAATGCGTTTCTCCGTATTACGAAATTTATAAAGATCGCCTAAGAGGTACCATACAAACAAAAACAACTGGAGCAACTCGGGGCACAGAGATCAAAAGGCTGTAGAAAAAAGAAGGAAGAAAATTAGAATAAAAATGACCTAACTTAGCAATGCTGGCAATCGTAATAACAAAAACTCCCATGTATTATTAAACATTCATATGAAATTCAAGTTACAGTGAAATTACTGTTCAAACCTTAACACGTTCGCTACCAGCGTCACATATTTGTGACGGCCGTAACCCTATATTTTACATGATGAAAATGAAATTAATTCTATAGATATTGTTATTAGAAATTATAAACTACGACATTTATACTAAGGAACTCAATGGTTCGTTTCAGTTTCATTTTTCTAATATTTTGTTTAGAAGATTTATTGGATTGAAGAAAATATTATAATTGAGGGGACCGTCGTCGAAATAAGCGCTGGTATTGAACGCGTTAACCCCGTTTCTCCATCCTCAAATGTTATGTTCTATCCATTCTCGAATCGCCTGGAATTAGCGGAAATCCTCGAACAAGGTTACGAACGCGCAGATTATTAAGTCCATCGACGGAAGTTTCCGATGAGCCAAATACGATGACCGCGTGCCGCGGAATTGATCACGGATAGCCAGTGAAACGAGCATTGTTTGGTCGTTTGCAGGTCAATGGGTATTCTGTTGCCGCCAGTTCCGCAGGCGAGCGCGACGACGCTGACGCATCACCACAGAAATCGAAGTCTCGATTCCGCGTTGCAACGTATCCCGGAAGTGGACGTTACGCCGAGCCCGGAATGCGAGACGACACCGGCCCCGGCAGCTAAGGCCGCAGTGCCGGCGTGCAAGGTGCGCAGCCGGGAACGCGAGGACCTCGCCAGCCTCGGGTCTGATGACTCGGGTATACTTTGCGGTTCCGACAGCGGATCCAGCGACGCGACCAACGCGGCGACCAGAGAGTCGAGCGTGGACCACCTCCACAGCCGTGAGAGCCTCGACTCGTCGTTGTCGCAACCTGGTGACATGGATGGCGTCGACGTGGTGGACGGCGAGGACAACGGTTGCCCCGTGTCCGCGGTGTCGGTGTCCTCGGTGTCAGTGTCGGTACCAGTGTCGCCAGTGGAACTGGTGCATTTAAGTGAACCTACATCGAAAAACGGTGAACACGGTGACCGTGGCGAACCCAGCGAACATGGGAACGCGAACAGTGAGTCCGGTTCACAGGAACTGCGGTCCGGTAGCGCGGTCAAAGAACTCGAGGCGCACGAGTACCAGCGCGAGGAATTGTGCACCGAAATGGCCGTGACCGTAGATGCGCGGGACTTCCAAAATCCGTTGGAAGTGCTGCCTGTGAACGATAAACAGTGCGAGCTAGCCGGCGCGGCTATGACGTTGTGTTGCGGCACGACCGTCCAGTCCGAGGCCAATGAGGCAGCCGTTAAGAAACAGTCCGGTGTCGTTTGTCGAAGACAGGAGACGGTGCAACCGAAACCATCTGAGGGATGCTTGCTCAGATTATTCGAGAGCCAGATTTTCGACATGTCGATGGCTATTTCTTATCTTTTCAATTCGAAGGAGCCTGGCGTTCAGAGTTATCTCGGTAAGCGTTTTTGCTGTAGCTGTCGATGAGAAATGGTTAGTTAGCTTTTTTGCTCTTCGAAACCAGTGGGAAAGTAAATGATGGATTCGCCCGGTGATACTGTGGTATTAACTGAAGGATAATCGTTCATTACTTCTGGCAAAAAGTATTCAATCACACTTGTGAGTGTGCTCACTGTGAACAGTGTGTACCTCTTATAAAAAATGTTTATTGCATTCGATGAGTGTAGAATTATTATGACAGAAGATTGATTTTTTTAATTGGATACTTTTGTTCAATAATAGTTTGTTTAAAGGGAGTGTGCTCCCAAACAATGGAAGATTATCTATAATTCTCAAATTTAGAAAGGTGACCTTAATCAGCCAACTTTCTTATTATCTATAGTAGTACATTTATTAAATTATTTGATAGTTTATGTGAAATAATTTTGTGATGCTTTTACTGTATCAGTGTCATAATAATATTTGTTACTCAACTATGCATACGATAATGTGGTTTCTTAATATAAATATAAGCATCTTTCAATTAATAAAATATAAATAATTTTCCAGGGAACAAGATGTTTAGTTTCCCAGATCCCGATGTGGACTTCTATCTACCACAATTGGTTGTAATGTACATACAACTGCACGATGTTACAGAAGTCCTGTATCCATATCTTGTCCATAGGTAAGCACATATTAATACAGTGATCTTATAGAGTAAATTTAATATCTAACGAATTTTTGGATTATAGACAAAATTTTCTACTGTAACACATGTATCGTAAAATTGCATAAAATGTTGAACCTTATGTACATTCTGCTTATAATATTATTTGTAATTAAAAATAATATTAGTGATAAATGTAAATTCCTTTTGTACTAGGTGTAGACAGTCAGCAGATTTTTCTTTAAAATGTGCCTGGCTATTAGATGCATATAGTTCTGATGCTCATTTGCCATCCAAGAAGAAGTCTCATGGGACCAAACTAAAAAATCTTATTCTCTCAGATGAACTCAGGTAGAGAATGAACTGTAATGAATTGTAATGTACTTACAAGCAATATAATGGCGTAGACTAATCTGTACTGAATCTTGTGTACGAAACAATAGGCCAAAAGGAAATGAGAATAAGAAGCAACGTGTAGCTGGTTTGCAGACACCGACCCCACCGTCATTAACTACAATGCAAAGCATTACATCTCCTAATAAAAAGACACACCAAAGATCTCAGTCGGATGCCACTGGACTATTTCAAACATTACGTCGTAGCCATTCCGGTAAATAAATTACGAATATGTTATTGTACTATTTTATTGCATCATTAGATGTAGTTACATTTACTGGCATTTTGAAGGTACAATAAATAAAGTAAGTCTTGGGGACCTGAGCTCTGGTCGAGCATTTGACAATGGTTGTACCTGTTTTTATTCCTGCCAAGGTGTGGTAAACGATTTACGAGGACAAAAAACCGACTGCTTTTGCAATGTAAATTTATAATTTTCCTTAAATTGCTCTTTTCCGTTTTAGTAAAAATCATATAAATATGTTTACATTACTAATGTTTATATTTACAGGCGCCACGTCTTGCTCCAGAACTTGAATTTATACAAGCACTAATATCAATTGGTAAATTGCTTGGAACTATTCCAACGAAAGAAAGTAAAACCGTTCAATTAATAGCGGAGCTTAATACTCTCAATTTGAATCTCCCTGCAAGGGTGTGGCTTCCTTTGCACAGTTCAGTACCACATCATATCGTACGAGTGCCACCGCAATACGCTGCTGTCCTAAATAGTAAAGATAAGGTGAACGATCATAGAATAAGCTTAGCTTGAATTTAAACCCTTCAATAAGTAATTAACACAATGTTTTTTAATCTGCAGGCACCCTACATAATTTACGTTGAAGTGTTAGAAGTAGAGGATATTTATACATCTCCTGTACCGACGAAGATAGTGGGACACTCGTTAAGGCATACGAAATCCGAAGAAAATTTAACCGGAGGTGAACAATCCACTGTGATTGCTTCATCAAACATATCCACTTCAGAATCACAACAAAATATGCCACCGATCAGGCAAACTCCGGTCAAAAATACTTCCCCTTATTCAGTGAGAAGTACAGATGTCGCATTTACCTTTCCTGATGATGACCCTAACGATTGTTGGAGTCAAGAAGACGATGAAATCACTCAACAGGTATTTAATTATTGAATTAATATTGTTGATCACGTTATGAACTTACACGTAGAGCTTAAGTATTGTGAGAGGAATTAACTATCAACCTTATTCTCTTCTCACACAGTATTTGCAACTCCGTAAACCTAAAGACCGAGACACGATATCTCAATTGAGCCAAGAATCATCAGATAGTAAAGAACCGATATTTGTGCCTGGTGATATAAAGCGACGGTTGAGCGAAATGGCCGCTGCGCCGAGTGCAACTTTCAATCATGACCCGGAAGATCCGTCGGCTGCGGTGTTGAAAGAACCGTGGGAATTAAAGCAACGTCGTATAAGGGCTTCCAGTCCGTACGGTCACCTCGCATCTTGGAGACTTCTCGCAGTCATTGTGAAATGCGGCGATGATCTACGACAGGAACTCCTCGCCTCACAACTACTTTCGATGCTTCAAAAAATCTGGCAAGAGGAACAAGTACCTCTTTGGGTGCGGCCGTACAAGTAAGACCCTATTCAACATTATTGTCACGCATCTTTAGATACATAACTGTAAAATGATTTGTTAAACATTGAATTTCATTTTACAGAATTTTATGCTTGTCTAATGATAGCGGTTTGATCGAACCAATTTTGAATACTGTATCACTACACCAAGTGAAGAAACAGTGCCAATTAACGCTTGTGCAATACTTTGAACGAGAATTCGGCCCACCCACATCAGAAACATTTATCACCGCACAGAGGAATTTCATTCAAAGTTGCGCGGCATATTGTCTTGTCTGTTATCTCATTCAGGTCAAAGATCGTCATAATGGGAATATACTGCTCCATAGTGATGGTCATCTGATACACATAGATTTCGGATTTATTCTGTCAACTTCGCCGAGAAATTTGGGATTTGAAACTAGCCCATTTAAATTAACTCCCGAGTTTGTGGAGGTGATGGGCGGAAGTCAATCTAAACAGTTTCAAGAATTCAAAACTCTGATTCTTCAAGGATTAATCGCGGCACGGAAACACATGGAAAAGATTGTTAATCTGGTGGAAATCATGTTATCTGGTAAGACCCTTTTTATATGAAATTCAATATGATGCAAAGGTCTCGATGAACGTGATCATTTAAAATAAATACATTAGTGATTATACTTAAGTAAATTTCAATATTAATTTTTACAGGGTCACAACTTCCATGTTTCCGTAGTGGCGGGGCAGCAACGGTTCAAGGATTAAAAAACAGATTCCATCTTACATTGACGGAAGATCAATTACGCCGACATGTGGAGGACTTAGTCGAAGCCAGTATCCATTCATGGTCAACTAAATTGTACGATCGGTACCAATATTTCGCAAATGGCACCCTTTAATAATAACATCAACCTTTGTCTTTATGTGAGAAAGAGAATGATTTTTACGAGAGAGCGCGTGATTGAGTTTGAGGATACGTGGTATTTCTTCCATGAAAGCGTATAAATCTTTATAGCATTCCGTGAGCACAAATTATCTCTGAATCGAATTATTTGATGTGCGGTGCAGATAGTAATTGAGATACATAGGGAAATGCTATCTAAAATGTAGATTTATTCCGAATAGAATATAGGCTGATTTCGATAGATTAATTTTACTTCGTCTTAAATTATTCCTTAGTTTCTCGATCAAAACCAGATAGTCGACTTTGATAAATGAAAAATATAATGTACAAACACAACACGCTTGTCGATAATTATGAACGATTTGCAAAAATGCATATGGTTCGCAAAAATTGAATACTTTGTTATAGACGAAATAGCAAAAGAAACAGGGAATAATTTACGAAATTTTAATTGTTACGTTAAGCAATATGGAGTATGTATAATTGGTTTTGTTGTATACGTTCAAATGACTATGTAAGCCTTATCGGCAAACTGCGAGTTACCTACCGTCGGTGCAGACTTCGTGACATTGACTGAATGTTGGACTGCTAGAATCGTTATAGCCTATAACAGCGTAATTTGTTAAAGGTGCCTTATTTGTAGAGAAAATGGCGGAACGATCGAATCCGAACACAGTGAAGTGACTACGTATGTTGATCAACCGGGAGAAAAAAAAGAAACTGATCTATTACGAAAAGGACAATCTATAATTTGTACATAAAAATACATTGCGTGAACTTTTGTCGAACTCCTTTCGTAGTTAATTTTCGGCAATAACCGATCCCACCACGATGGTAGTGATTAAATAATCACACGGTGTTTTAAGATTCTATTACGAGGAATCTTCGAGCGGAAGAAGCATGCAAAACTGGCTCAGATATTAGCAGGAGACGAATACTCAAAATATTTCCTACTTTATAGATTAATACTATTATAAATACATTTAATTGTAATGATACGCTATAAGGATTAATTATTATTAGTAAAAGTTTAAGGATCACAATTTGAAAGTTTTTACATGTTCTTATTACATGCATACAACATTAATAGTCATAATGCGAGATATCTTAGTTGTGTGAAGATAGTTATTTAATGGTATTTCTGCGTTAAGTATATGTTCGTTTAAATAAGTAAATTATAAAAGTAAAGAGGTATTGTATATACAGTGACAAATTTTATCACCTATCGGTTTAAGATTCAATTGAGAATGAATGTACGAAGCAAAATCAAAGTCACCGCGAAACAGCCCATGTATAAAGCTTGGGCCATCTGACTTCCAAGTGTCTTAAACTTTCTTTCTTCTGTCTCATAACCGTCTCATGAATAGAAAGGCGGATCAGAGATTCAGAATAATTGATATTGCATAACGCTCAATAAACTTTGCATTTTAATACCATACGTTTGCGTAATCTTCGTTGCACTAATTTCTGTTGACTATTCTGTGCAATTCTTCTGTTTGTCATAAAAAACTGTAATTGTTACGAAGAAGGTACCGTTTCATTAATTTCGTAACAATAAATTTTACTCTTTTCTATATAAATGAAAACGTTAATATCTCTGATTTGCCTGATTCTTTCGCCTCCAATTATGAGCTACTGATAATATCAATTATTAAATAAATATGAAATCCAATCAAACCTATTTTTGATTGATATACCCAAAATAACCTAACCAGGGACTTAAAACCAAATTTTATTTCATTAGTTACATGTTTAATGTTAGACCAGACTTAGTTCGAATAATTGATTACCACTAGAAATAGTAACTGAAGTAATTAATATAATTTTGAAATTTTCTATTTCCAAATGTGTCCCTGATTTCAACTAAAATAACATATCGAGTACAGAATATATTATGTATATAAAAATGCAAGAGAACTCAAAGATATTCAAATTTTTATTAATTGTACATCGATCGCTACACAACGCTTTTTTAACTAACAACATTAAGTAAATAATCGATTCTATAAATACATATTAAGATATCAGTCATAAAAAATTCGGGAAGTACAGATGTACATACATATAATTGATGTATATGACAATGAAAGCATAAGTATCGTAAATATCACAATAAGTCATGATTACAGAGATCATACAAATGTCTTATATTCTAGAGAGCTGTTGTAATAAATTAGAAGGCATAATCGCTTCTAATTTGTCTAAAATATAATAAAATGGATGTGAAAACCAGGCAAGCATTGATCGTGCTACTACACCCATAGTATCGGGATACTGATGCGTTAAAAGTGCTAGGAGTGCTGTAAAGGAACATAAACCTGCTGTAAACAAAATAAAAAATGGCAACTCCTTTTTAGGGTATACGCTCACATCGTGAAACGAAGGTAAAAGTTCGCGATCTGCACACTCTGTGCAAGTTGGATATGGATAAAATAAATGTCCTCTTTCCAAAGGATATGGTAACCTTCTGAATGTACCTTCCCAAGTGCAATGTAATAAATTAAGAGCTCCTTCCATCTGTTTCCAATGAGCAAGATGAAAGAATGCATATGCTATTGCTTCTGAGTCTCCCCTTTTTAGTACATGTTCTGGTGGTAAAATTAAGGGTTTCATTTCTAACAAATACTTAGGTACATGAGGATTGAACTCGACAGCTCTGTGAATAGCTTCAATAGCTATCATTTCAGGAGTAGTTAAGCCTCTTTTAATAGCAATATCTGTTGAAAATTTGTCAGCAACTACTCGTGCTTTCAATAATGCAGCTGTATAACAAATAGTTGCTGATTTTGGCAAACTTATATCATCATACTTTGCTAATACTGCTTGAACATCCGCATATGCTTGCATTTCTAATAAAGCTTCAATTAAATTCTCATGAATATTTAACACATTCATAATTGGTGGAACTTCTTTCGTCAAATCTCGAAACATTTTGACTGCTTCCTTTAATTTTCCTAATTTTCTTGCGCACATAGCTAATCGTCGTTTAATGTATATTAATACATTTGTATCTCTCCTATGTATCGCTTCTGCAACTGATCCTTGATGCTGAGTATTTTGCGATTTCCTGTAATTGTTTTCTGCTACCTTTAGCGCTTGCTTTAAAATTTTTTCAGCTTCTACAATAGTCGTAGCCTCTTCTTCTGCAAGTAATATATATGCGGGAGCACAATCAGAATTGCGATCAAGAGCACTATGTGCAGCTTTTATTCGCACTACTGGATTACGTTCTCTCCAAGCTGTTTGCATTATTTCATATTCAGCTTTACCTGTAACATTTATCTATGTCCTTATTCTATGAAGAGAAAACATGATCTAACACTACTAGGTATATTTTTAAATATAATTATTTTGTATGCAAATGAAAGAAGAATCTTCAAGTACTTCAAACATTAATAGGTAAGTAATATCATTTTGTAGAGTTTACCTGTATCACCTTCACAGGTGAAGAATGTTTGATGATCTTGAGCAGATAAATTCATATCATAATATGTTAATGGTTCTTTATTTGTAGCCCAATAAAATCTTTGATACTCAGCCCCTCTAAACAGATTTATTGGATTTCGCCAAACCTTACATTCAGGAACATTTTGTTGATTCGAATTTGAGCCATTTAAACTTGAATTACTTCCATCAGTTCCACTATCACCTCCACCAATCCATGGTGAAATATGATTTAATGACACTTGTTCAATAAAAGATGTACCATATTTTCTGAAGTACCACCACTCAAAAATAAGAATCAATCCAGATATTAAGGATGATGTTCCGGTAAGGGCGACGTAAAACTTTGGGGTTAAGGTGTTCAAAAACATTGTAGAGTCCCACATGCTTGTGAATAATAGGGCCATTTATAATACTTAAACACTGTGTATTTCTTGTTTGTTTCTTTTTATTGTTCCAGTTTGCACTATTATTGTTTTTACTAACAGGGTACTAATTAACAAACATTATAACATTGAATAATGTTGCTAAATTCTTACATCACCCATCAATTGTTGTTCTTTTATTCTTCAATCTTAACTAATAAAAAACAAAATAAACTTCATATGTGATTTCAACATTTGCACACTTTCTTTTCTTTCAAAATTTCAAACGTTGCATGACCGCTTTCATACTACCACAGACGAGGTATAGAATAGCATTGCAAGCTTATAAGATCGGTGTCACATGTTCTGAATTATCGACTGTGTAAAAAATGTTGCTCTGCCCTCTACGCCTAGAGAACGGTCAATAAGAAAACTACATCAAGCAAAATGATCGAAGTTGATCAAGTAGTAATATGATAAACCAGCATACAAACGTATTCGTTACAATGTTGCTATGGCTTTAAACTCCCAACCATGCGAAGGTATATATAAGTATTTTATGAATTTATGTCATACAGTACATATATTAACGCTTTAAAGTTATTAATAGATGGTTTTAAATATAAATGGTTTATATTTTCCAAGAAACTTTAGAAGATAATTCTTAACTAACCTAAACTTTCAAATCACTTTTAAAATTATTTGATGCACTCGCAACACACATACTTTACAAAAACAGGAACTGAGATACATTAATAGATTCATAAGCAAATGACAGTTTATAGAGTGTATATGTACGTATATGAGGGTACTAATCAGAGGATGCCATAAGATACTCGGTCTATTCTATCTCTCGTCGGTGCCATAAAATATGCAGACTATCCTGTCTCTCATCGATAATATAGGTTATCTTAAATTTTCTCTTGGTTATAATTATTTCAAACTGAATCGTGAGATGTCACTACCGATCTCAAACTCAATGCTCCATGAACTGTTTAAAAGCGAGAATAAAAAAATTTGACTTTCCAACTCCTACGAACGGAATCCCGAAAAGACAAGCTTCCTTTTTATATTATGTCCAAGCAAGTTATATCTTAGTGTTTGCAGTATCAGTGACGATCAAATGGTATATTCTCCCTTTGCAAAACTGAAACGCGTAGTGGTTCGTGAGTTCATGGACCATCGATCGTCACGCAACTCATAAAAATTGCTCCTAAGTATAGCAAATCGTCAGTTCTCCAAGGTTGATAATCACGATGTAAATTTACGCATCCTACGCATGCAAATCGACTGACAACCATCAAATTTACATATTTATTTAAAAAGAATTCTTTCTCTTGCGAAACTTAAAATTCATTTGTATGAAAATTCAGGACTCGAGACAGCGATGTAGTATCCGTCATTATTTTATACCCCAAGACGTTTTAATTAACCAGTTACCGGACAAAAGTGAATTAACTTGCACTTAGTATCATTTTTCTGTGATTTCACAATTTCATACTTCGTTCATCTAACGATTCATAATAACTATGCTACAATAAATTATATATTGTTTGTTGCACAGTGTGCGCTGATTAATTCAATTCCTCATTAATTGTAACCATTACGTATGTATGATCGAATAATTGTACACCCGATGACTGTAGCGAAGAGACAGAAACACGTTTCGAATTTGCCTTTATATTACGAATGAAATTCAGATAAGAAAGACGTGTACAGGATTAAAGCAAATACACACACGTTTTTGAATTGGAAATGCAATCATGGATCCAACCGAAAAAATCATCGAGCAACGCGTACCGAACGCGGCAAACGCATACATGGAACAAATTTGACTTCCGGCCCGGGAGGAAAAGCGAAAGCCGAGCCGGCGGCCAATTTACAAGCGATCTAGATCGACCGCTCAAGAATATCGCGCAAAACGGGAAGCGATTCACGGGAGACGGTAACTGGTTATCAAGGACGGAGCGATATAGGTTAACCCGCGTGTCGTTGGAACGCGAATACGGCCTCGCAGCCATGAAATAAAAGTATCTCGATCCGCCTGGTCGGCTGGCGGAAAAAGGACCAAAAGGAGGAAAAAGAAGGGGCGGTGGGCGAACGAGAGGGCGGAGGGAAAGGGAGGAATAACTGCTAGGAGGTCAGACACGCGCAGGATGCGCGGAATTTTCTTGCCGCGAGGCCACGCACACCCTTCGTTTTACGCGGCTTTTGCGATCGTTCGAGTTTTCAACCCTCAGCGGTCCTTTCGATTCCTTCGGGTCCGCGGCCATCTTGCCGGCGGTACCCTGGGAAGCCATTAATTACGAAAATGTGATTACGCCCTGGAACGTAATCTCGAAGGATAAAAGAAGAATGGCTGGGAAGGAGGGACCATTACTGGACTACGATTGTACGCGCAAATTTATATTTGTTGAAAATTAGTTCGTACAAAAGAGGTCGCTTAAAAATTTCCATGAAGCATATTGTTTTATGAAAAAAGTATTTTTTGAGGAATTAAGTTGTGAGAATGTGTAATTTTATTGTGAATAATGTTTGAAACTTGGTGAGATTTTCGTTTGTATAATGATATTTGCAAGAAGTTCATTGTAGTTTTCAACGTTATTAATAACGCTTTAATGTAAAATGAGGAAGCAACATTGTTGAATTGAAAAAAGAGAACGTAAGGGATTGGGTTGGCCAGAGTCGAACGTATTCAGTGCAATGAGCGTTAATTTTACCAGAACGGAAAATTCGCGGCCATTGAAAATTACGTTAGATTGAGGAGCGGCAAATGGGCGACGCACGCGCTCGGAATATTTTCGATGGTGCGCGAATGTCGCACTTCCGGCGTTCAATCCGCCCTGGTTGAATTACAACCATGATTATCGAAAGTTCGCGCAATCGTGTGCAATTTTCCTACTGCCATTGTATAGGAGCTTTAAAAATATCCTCCACTGACGACAATGATTAGAAATATTTGTTTCGTGTGAATAAAATCCTAATACTTTCTATTTTAATATTTAGGTGTGCAAACGATGTCGATGGAAGATTATGTTTTACATGATATACGTACGCACATATATAAGTTTACTGAAAGTATGAATGTGTTTCAAAATTTTTGGCAGGAAGATTACGGTATATATAACTTCATCTAACATTCCAGAGTTACAGTGATGTATTTTCGAGTTTCTAGTCTGTAGGTATACGAGACGAGGTCCCATGGAATAGCAGCATCCATCTCGAACGCCTGGCTGGTTTAAGGGTAGCTTCCCGTAAGTCTGATTTCATAATATTTATCTTCCACTTCTGATTTATTTTTATCTTCGTTCTACCATTCTGTGTCTTATGGCGTTGCTTTATACTCCGGTTCAAACAATAAATGCTTCGACTTACATTGTAAAGTAAACGATCGTGTAAAGTATCTTTAACTTTTGTTTGATTACCCTTGTCTCATAAACAATGTCGGACCTTAAAGTGAATCGAAATGAATTTTTTCTTCATTGAAATACTGCCGAATAGTCAAATGCACAAGAACATTTAAAATAATGT